AGTCACTTAAAGTCTTAGTTTTACTTTTAACATACCTCAGAACACCATCCTCAGGTATTGATTAGCAGATGATGCCTGATTGAAAACTACTCTCTGAAGGCTATAGATATGCTCAAGTATAGAACCTTATAAAGATTAGCAAAGAGCTAGATGTTCCTTTTGAAGGGAAGCCTGTTTTCATCTCTTTGGTTATTCCAAATGAGGATGTTTTTCAGCCTAATTTTCATGTACATTACATGGTGATGACTAGGGAAGATAAATAATTTTAAATGGTATATGAGTGTGCTGGGTCTCTAATGAGCCAAAAGAGTTGGTTAAGTGACTTTTTTCATAAGCTAAATGAATATTGATCTGTTTCTTCTGAATTGCTAATTATAAATCAGGAAATGGTGATAAAAGGGTACAGAGAATTAGTAATAAGACTCCAGAAAAATTGGAAGTTAACTTCTAAGATGAGAGATGAAGCAGAGACCATGTCATGTGTCATGTGGTATCTGGAAGTTCGGCTCCAGAGTCCTCAGATTGGGTTTGACTCCTGGCACCACCATTTGAAGGCAAGTTACTTCCTTCTCTGAGCGTCAGTTTGTGATTATTGTAGTGTGATTATTCGTAGCCCCAGTTATTAAATGGAACCTATCCCACACGGCCATTGTGAGAGACAAGGAGATAATGTGACACACACAGATAATGTGTGTCACATTATCTCCTTGTCCTTAACGTTACATGCATCAACCGTTTTCCATAAAGCCAGACTTATATATAAGAAGCATGTAATAAATACTGGCTATGATTGCTATCTTTAGGTAAAGATAATGAGTAATTCTGAAGACTCACTGAGAAGGGTTCCTAGTAACAAGTCAAAAATTTCATTTTTATGTTTCTGTGGGCCCAATTTCCTGCTTTAAAGCAGCTTTAATATTTATGACATTTGATTTCTTAAAGGCGGAGGTAAAGAAACATTCTGAGGAATGTAGAGAAAAGTTATCTCTTTTCATTCTTTTATTCCTTAGTACATATTTAATATTTTTAAATGGTCAGCTGATAGATTTTTGTAGTGGTTAGTCTACAAAAAGCTACAGAATCCGTATTTGTGGCCAAGGGACTCAGGGAGGTAATCATGATCACTTTTCAGTGTTTAAAAGGTTACAAAGCCAGAAGACACAATTTTATTGCAATTTCTCCCTCAGGATATTTAATTTTTACACTCAAAATATAAATAAAATATTGTCATTTAATACCCTCAAATTATTGGTTTAAAACACTACTGTCCTACAGTAAGAAAGTTTGATAACCATCGCATGAAAACAGATTAGGAATGGGAAAGAAAAACCATTCACTAGAGTAACACTATCTGTAGCGCTTCAGTAAAAGGGTTCATCAACATTCCCATTATAAACTCCATTTTTGCAAAGCTAACAATATTGCTGGTTCATATTCATTAGCCCTATACTTACACACAAAACAGCTTAGAACACATGTATGTTTCTAATAAGCTTTACTATTCCTGAGGAACTAAGTGTTATAAACTTTAAGTGCTAGAAATTTAAAAATTCCTCCTCTGCAACAGTTACAAAATAAAAATAAAAACAAAACCCACAAAATACTGCTTATGGAAAAAAATTCTCTAGCATTTTCATGAGGGTTTTATAGACCCTAAGATAGGATGGCAGAAATACACACACACACACTCTCTCACATACTATTGTTATTTAATATTCAGACTATCACTGATTTAGGATTACTCAGTTTCAGAAGGAATTAGTCGTATCAATCCCCACAGCTGAGTTGACTCTAATACTGATGCCTTTCCCCTAAATGAATATTGGGATCTTTCCAGCCCTTCCCATGTCATGGCCATTCTCACCCCTGCTATCTCCCCTTTTTGTTGAAGTACTGACTGAGGATCTCTCTTATAATCCTTTGCTATTTTCTTCCAGCAGGTCAGGAAAAATGCACAGAAGTCTGGGCCACCAACCAGTCCCCACCCTCCTCCTCAAGATGCAAGAGCTTCAGTGTTAAAGGGGTTGGTGCTTAAAACCCAGAGCTGCTCAAGCTCTAGGAACCCAGGACTCAGGTCTAATAATAACTATTATTATTATAGTTATATTTTAAATTATAGGTTTGTGTGGGTTTTTCTGGCCTGTAGATGCTTATAACAGTGCTTGTTTTGGAAAATGTATCCTAGTTCCACAAATCAACTTCTAAATAAACTTCACAGCCCTTTTAAAATTGAGTACAGTTTCTTAATAAAAAATAGAGAATTACCATATGACTCAGTAATTCCAATTCTAGGTACATAACCCCCCAAACTGAAGAGATTCAAAGAGATGATTTGAGAACATGCTCATGGTAGCCAGAGGTGGAAACAACCCAAATGTCCATCAATGGATGAATGAATATACAAAATATGGTGTATATATACAATGGAATATTACTTAACCACAACAAGGAACAGGGCTTCTCTGATAGCTCAGTTGGTAAAGAATCGCCTGTAATGCAAGAGACCCCGGTTTGATTCCTGGGTAGGGAAGATCCGCTGGAGAAGGGATAGGCTACCCACTCTAGTATTCTTGGGCTTCCCTTGTGGCTCAGCTGTTAAAGAATCTGCCTGCAATGTGGGAGACCTGAGTTCGATCCCTGGGTTGGGAAGATCCCCTGGAGAAGGGAAAGGCTACCCACTCCAGTATTCTGACCTGCAGAATTCCATGGACTATATAGTCCATGGGATTGCAAAGAATCGGACACAACTGAATGACTTTCACTTTCACAACAAGGAATAAAGTAGTGGTATATTACAATACAGTTGAACCCTGAAAATATTATAGCAACTGAAAGAAGTCAAACACAAAAGGATAACTATAGTTTGATTATACTTATATGAAATATCTAGAATAAAACTAATTCAGAGAAACAGAAAGTTGATTAGTGAGTCCCAGGGGACTGAGAGGAGGAAGTGAGGAATTAATAAGCACAGTTTCTGTTTAGGGTGATGAAAAACTCTGGAAATAGTGGTGGTGATTGCACAACACTGTGAATGTACTAGATGCTACAGAACTGTACATTTTAAAATGGTTAATTTTATATGTGAATTTCAAATCAATAAAATTAAAAACTGTATATAGTCAGCATCCACAAGTATATAAAAACTGAAATAGCCAATAAAGTATTTTTTTTCTATTAAAAAAAAGAGAGAAGACGAGAACTGTCTCAAGAACTAGAAAACCTAAAAATGGGTTTAGGCCCTAACTCAGCCATTAGTAATTAAGCCATCTTATATGAGTCATTTCCCCATCAGAGCCTCAGTTTTATCATGTAAAGTATATGATTATTATCTGCTCTGCTTAATTCTAAGGCTGAGATTCAGAAAGTAAATGAAAACTCTTAACATATCAGAGAAAGGTGCTAACTTCTATAATAAATGAAAAGTTGGAAGCACTGGAACCTCCAAAAGGAAAGGATAAATATATGCTTTCCCTTTCTAACACCTTACCTTTTAATTCAGATGCTAACTAGGCTTTAGGCAAATCTTGGTGAGCATTATTTGAGCTGGAGGAGGTTTGGTACAATCCAGGAGAATTCTTGTAGTTTATCAAGCTGGGGAATCAAGTCTAGCAGATTCAGTCTAGACCAAATTCTGTCCTGTGTAGCATGGAATATAAAATCCTGAAGAGATTCTAGAGTTGGTCTGTAGTCCATGACTTGTTTCAGATAATAAATGATTTATAGTTGGGATGAGGGCCACTACAAAACTTCACTGGTGATATGTGGGATGGGAAGGAGAACATGAGTCTGTTCTGGTTAGAACCCTCAATAAATCAGGTTTCAAGCATGGAAGAAGGAAAGGAAACAGAATTTCTAGTCTTTTCTCTTGTGATACAAGGCTCTTTCAAGATTTTCATGAAAATCTAAAGTCTCCACAGAACACAGTTTGAAACCAATCTGGTCATACAAAACCAAAGGTCTCTTCATATTCTAGTGTGTTCTGATTTCACAAATGTAGGCAATTTTCAAATGTCCCACATAAACGCTTATTTCTGAAGGAGTTCTTTAATTGTAAATACATCTTTGGCAGATAGAGAAGAAATAGTTCAAGAAAGCTTTCCAACCCTAATCCACTAGTAATTTACTAATCTATTTAACATAAAATTAAAGCTATTAATTAGAGGAATAGATTTTCTACTTAGATTTTGACATTTTTAAACTTAACATAGTTTACTTTTAATTTGGTATGAATGATTTCATTTCCCATTTTTACCCCTTTGTAGGAGCAGCATTTTAAAGAAACATATGCATACGAACTTCTTAAAAATACACATACAGTTCTCCCTCCCCGCCGCCCCCAGTCCCAGTAGCTTACTGCACACTTAGATCTATTCAATCACCATTGGCAATCAGCATTAAATGCCAACCTACCCTCTGGTTAGGAGCTAACTTGCTGCTCCAAACCATTTTTTACAAACCTTCCTATATACCTTAATCCTTTCAAATGCAACTGTGACACAAAGTATTACAGACTTTTAAAAAGCTGTTCTCTTGAAAAAAAAAAAACTGCGGAGCACCAGTAACCAGATAGTATTCTCAAATTTCAGTGATCTAGTCCATGGAGCCGTCCCCTATGCATAGTGCTCTGTTTCATGCAGTACATGGCTGTAGCTGGCCAAATCTTTTTTTTTCCCAATGAATCAGTAGAACAGTGAAGATCTTACTTTTTTTTTAAGCAGTGGCATATCAATGAGGCACAGATGTGTATTCCAACTCTGCATGGATGAGCACACTGTTCAATAGTGCTGGCTCACACGGTATCAGGGCGAGTTATCACTTCCCATGAAGGCACTCTTATCACCAGGACCCAGAGAGGTGGCTGCAAATCGCAGCCTTTTTATTTTCAAGGCAGTTCTGCTGAACATTCAGGCTTCAAAGATTCACACTTCCAAAACTCTATAAGAGTTTGTGAACGCTCAATTTGCCAAAACTGTTTACAGTGTAATTGGGCACCCTACCTGTGTCCATGAGATAGCGAAGGCGCTTCTCCACCAGCGCGGCACGGGTGTCAATTTGCTTTTGCTCATTCTCTAGTGCTGCCAATTCTCCTACAACATACTGACTGGTGTCTTTGAACCCTTTCTGTTAACGAGAACAAACAGGAAGAAAAAAAAAAATCACTTGTAAGTTGCATTTTTTCCTTTCTACAAACACTTAGTAAAGCACTTACCTAGAGAACCAAATACGCCTTTAGTATCACCCTTAGTACCAAAAATCAACGCCCTGTGATTCAAAACATTTTCATATGTATTATACATAGCAAAACTTTTGTAAATAGAGAAAACCTCAGCTGTTTAGTATTATATTTATAATTTAACACCCAGATTTTAAAAGTAAACACTAAGAAAAATTTCTCAGAGTCAGTTATTAAGCGTGGACAAAGATAGATAATTTTCCCCTTAGTGCTGTCAAAACAAACAATTATGACATCCTTAATTCAAAAGTATAATAAACAAAAATGGCATTTAGCTAAGGAATTGATTCTTAAAGAATTTATCTGGAAAAAGATCAGATTTGTTCTTATAGAAATATAAAATTAAAAAGATACATTTCTTTTCACAGTGACTATACTTTTAAAAATATTTTTTAAAATGATGAAAGAGAAGTTTCTAATATCTTCAGTTTCCCCTCCAGCTGGCTTCTGTACTTTAACTACTTTAACATGTCACTGTGTTGATGTATTACTAATTATTGTAGCTGCGAATTCTAACTTGACAGGTGGTTTCAAACCTTGCTACACTGGATCTAATGCTACCAGTACACTGATTTGGTTAATCTTCCATGTAACCAAATCTGGATTTTATTCTGAAATTTCACTTTTTATAACCATGCATGTTAAAAAAAATTATCCTTAGAAGTTCTATTTGAAGTAGCAGTTCTACTATAAAGTACCAGTAAACCTTAATTTTTATTTTCATATTACAAATTTAAATCATTAGGGGCAGGGTTATTTGTGGTATAGTACCAAACTGATTAATCACAGCTCCCTTTGGAATGTTTATCTTGTGACATTTCTAGGGATAAGTTTCCTAAGTGGTTGACAAACACTGAAGAACTGCGTAAGTGATTACTCTCACCACTGCCACTACTACTATCAGCACTTATAACATTAATTCAGAGAAATAAATGTGAGCAACCTTCCTCTGTCAAATCCCTTCCCTACCTAGGAGCATATTAATCTCTAAGAAGCCATGAGGAATTATCTTTCCTTACTCCTTAAACAAGAAACTAAATCAGGAATTATGTTATTAGGAGGATATTTTGGAAGTCTCATAATCAACAAACCTGTCTAACCACATGAACAACTTATTTATCTTTGGAACTAGTAAATATGAACTCAACTTAAACCAGCTTATTGTTAAACTGATTATGGTAGTTGACAAACTGAAAACTGAAATATTTTTTAAAAATCATGAAATTGATAAATCATGTCTCAGGATAGACTGATCAAATAAGTCACTGTATTTTTTAAAGATTCATACAAAGTAGATATTCTCTCACCTCAATATGAAATAAAGCAAAAATTATAAGAACAGAATAAATGCTAATAATAACTTTAAAATTCAGTGGATGCTTTTGGCATCTATCTGCCAGAGACCAGAGCATTTTTAAAACGGACTTTTCTTTTCTCAATCCCATCCAGAGGGAAAAAACAAACACAGTAAGATATTAGAAAACAGAAGTGATAAGCAATACATAAACTTCACTGCTTCTACTTACCAGTTCAGTTAAAAATAGTCATTAAGTTTAGCCAGATTTACTTAGTGGGAGTATACAGTATACTCAAATATTCTGTAACTTATAAATTATACTAAATATTTCATCAGGATATACGAGGTACCTCTTCTATGTATTAAGACATTCTTTTAGTGAAATAACTTTAGGATGTGAATCTAAAAATGAGAAGTTTTTAGAGCTCTAAAATAGTTTGTAACTCTCAGTACATTTGCAAGGGTTTCAAAATCCCATAAAAACAATTTCAACAGTAAAAACAATGAAAATATTTACACAAACTGGAGATAATAATAATTTTAAAAAGTAGCACCATTAAAGACAGCAATGCTTCGAGACAAAAATTCAAGTTAAAACTTGTTCTTCCTGCTTCTGTCCCGCAGCTGTCCGTCAAAAGCAGCTTTCTCCCTGCGGTCTATCAAATATTTCCCTCACAAATCAATTTTACACATGATCAGCCCATACCCCTACTGAGCTGAACCTCCCCGTTAATTAAGTGAAGAAATTACCATATATATTATATTAATGCAAACATCATTCAGCTAGTAATTCACGGCTGATCTGGATAATGGAAAGGTTGAACACCCATTAACCCAAGCCAACAAAATGGGTTGGCTGAGAAATTCTAGCAGGTCTCATGTGACTTTTCCCTCTAACTGCAGCTCTGCGGTATCTGCTATTGTAATAATTAAAATCCTCCTGGTAGATCAATACTGGAATCTCTTTATGGGAAGTGCCCTGATGGAAATGTCTCAAGGAAGCTGGGGCTGTGGAACTCTGAAAAATTCATTTTTTTTTATCTGACAATTATCACCACACTGCAGACTAATTCAACAGTGCACCCCTCTCACTCTGCTTTGAATGCACTGGAGATTGACATCTTAAAAAACCTAACATCTCATTTTAACAAATAAAGGCACTATTTCCACATACAGTTTGGAATTATCAGCAATCATGAAACCACACAAAAAATTAATATACATTAAGCACTTCATCTTCTGATGGCTTCCTCTGAGTTTCAGTTATCGCTGCCTTCTCCTCATTTCCTTTCTTTGTATCTTCCTGTATTGATCTCTGCCTTTTCATCTCTTAAAAAAAAGGGAAAGACATGTAAAATTATTATAAAGCTTGATAGTTGTGTATTAAAATGTGGATTTACATTATCAGCATATACACACACACACACACACACACACAGCTAAATACTGTTAAATTGTAAGATGGGAAAACATCTAAAAAAGTGTTCTTACCTGGTCTATTGTCAACATATTGACTGAAAGACTGAAGTTGAGTCTTTCTGACTGTAGCATCCTTGCTGAACACAACAGGATTTCTAAACCGTTCTGTTGCTTTTTGTAATCGCTCAGTCCTGAGATCCTCTGTGCCATTCTAAAAGTAAAACAAATGTGTTAAGAGAGTCCTGATCTTATAAATGTGAGATTACACATTAGTAAACAACTTTTACTGATTTAAGATAATGTCAATTTAGAAACATATTGAAAGAAAAAAGGATTGTAAAGAGTTCTAAATAGCTCAACTGCAAAGTCTGTTGCCTGTAACCAAAACCTTTGGGAGACAGGGTTTAAATAGAGAATCATTCTTGATAACTTTGATTCATTAGATACTGTAAACGTCCCTGTCTTCTCCTGATGATATGTATCATTTAAATGCCACATTGCCTCTGTCTACCCGCACCCACCCCACAGCCTCACTATTCTGCCCCATTGGTTTGTACAGTCCCACAGACTTGTATGACAAGAAGAACTAGTTTCTAATTTTATGCCCATTGAGATAAACCACTAATGCTGGATGAAGGCTAAAAGGTAGGATTATAATACTACCCCACTGAACTGCATTTCATCAGCTATAACTTTCCAAAGCCAGATTTGTAAGTAAGCCCTTTACAGCTAAGGAAACTACAATTATCTTTTCCAGAGCTTCCTATGTTAATACTGGTAACAAATTCAAATGGTTCTATCAACAAGAAATATCCCAGAAGACTGAACCACTGCAGTGTGTGGAAGCTGCAGATACCGAGGTGCTGTGTACCAAACAAATATTTCATTTTATACCTAATCTTTTATTATTTTTATTAAGTGTTTTGAAAGTAAATAGGGAAAGGCTAAGATGCATGACTAATAGCTAAGCCTGCTGAATGCTGAAACTGGTTATCAAAAGCTACCAAGACTTTGCCCTTCCTCTGCATTGAGACAATCAGTAATGAGGGAGTCCTCCAATGACCTATTCTCTAGCCTCAAGGAGGCCTGGGATACAGAATCCTCAAGGGAAGGTAACAGTTTATCCTTTTCCACAAACACAAAATGCCTCATTTATAAACGTGTAAACTGCATTTTATTAAAAAAAAAAATAAAACCCCAAATCAATGCTGAAAGCTTCAAGGGAACAGATGGACTATATGTTCTTTATAAGCATCATTTAAAAAAATCTTAACTAAAACGATCCATACAAAGACAAGCTGTTTAAAGCACACCTTTTGTTGGAATAGGTTTGAAAATAACTACATTTAAGGGCTTTTTGGAAAGCAAAACTAACTGCATCTATTTAGATAATTAAACCTTAAGAATGAAAATATGTTTCGTTTTTTAAAGTTATATATTTATCATTAGTATCATGTTTATAATACACTACCTATGTAGCTAGGATAGAAACAATTATGGCTTTTATTTGTCTAAGAAAAGTGTGTGTTCTACTGTTGTATCATAATAACTGCCCAATAGTGTAAAACTCAAGTCTTTACCAAAATAAACAAACACAGCTAAATTTTCAGAGGCCTGGCAACATGCTAAAATATCAGTGTGATTAGCTAGCAAATCCCATCTTAAGAAACCTTTTTATGACTAGGGACTTCTGCCACTTTACAAATGTATTCCTCTAAACCCACTAATTCAGTTAGCCTTTTCAATCCATTGTATTATTCTTAGGCCAGCTTCATTTTGCATTAAATCCAGTGCAGAAAGCTAAATTGAACGCAAAAAATCAGACCTGATCCAGGCTTCCTTTTGTTCAAAGATAGAGACCAAAAGTCCTCTGGTGCTGCCACACACTTTCATCACCAATTTATAGAAACCGACAGTATAAGGGAAAAGCAATGAAAGTCATTGTTTTGGGACTTCAAAGCATCTGTGTCAGGGAAAGGAAATCCTTTCAGTCAGCAGGGCAGTCCCCACAGTCCGCAGGTGGGTGAAAAGTTATACAAGACTAGAAGTGCCCTAAAGCTAGAGAAATATTAATGATACAGTGGCAAGGAAAAGGGGGGACAGCTTGAGAGGGGATAATATAAATACTACAAATCATCATCATTATCATCATCTTACAACGTGTCATTCTGGCTAAAACCTTACACAAGGTAAGATTTATACTGGCACAAAGCATATGCATATCTTCAAGATTTATACTCAACCACACGCCATCTTCAGATATTAACTCATCTTAACAGGTCAGAGGCTGCAGATGGCAGAACAGGCTAGAATTCTCTCAACAACATTCTCATTAGCAAAATACAGACACATATAGAAGTCAAGAATAGCTTTTACTTTTACTTACATATCAACTTAAAGTAGTAGTTTCTCTGAAAAACAGTAGATGCACACTGATTATCATACTGACATTCAATTCATCAGCTATTTAACAAAAATTCTTATACCTTAATCTTAATGTGAAGAATTTGGTAAGAAACTGACTTTAGGATTATAAAGTACCAGTGGAAATTCGAAGACACAGATACCAAGTCAAATATCTTAAGTAAGATTTACCTTAATGTCTTGCTCTGAACTTTCATTAACAGCTTTCTGAGCAGTGATGGAAAGTGAATTTGCCACCTGTGGCTGAGTGTCCAGGAGTTTCTTCAGCTTCAAGTCTGCCAACTTAGTGTCTTGTTCTGTTAAATATATAAATATTATGAATAACTGTGTGAACTACATTTAGATGTGTAGCTATCAATTCAAAGGACATCATAAAAATATTACTATATTTTAAAAAGAGAGAGGACATTAGAGTTGTGAAATAACATATAAGACCAGATATATGCAGAACTCTGCATCTATATATCTACTATAAACAATATTACATACTATATAACTATGATCATTATACTGTAACTATAGTATAACTAAGTAGTCTTTAGGATATTGACTATATCCCTTTTTCAAAAATTGAGATATAATTGATATATAACATTGTGTAAGTTTAAGGTGTACAATGTGTTGATTTGATCATTCATATATTGCAATATGATTACCATCACAGCATTAGTCAACACTTCTACCAAGTCACAAAATTATCATTTCTTTTTTGTGGTGGGAATAAATAAAATCTAGTCTCTTCGCATATGTATGTGCTTTTCCCCAAAATCAGTCCCCATAAAGAATATAGTCAACATGCCTAAAGACCATTTAGTTATTCTATGGTTAATAGCAGCTATGCTTACCTTAAAATCTCAGCCCATATTTAATGCATATATTTATATTAGCAACTTTATAGAATGTACATAATAAAAGAAGGTATTACAAAGTGGGTATTTAAAAGAGGTAATGCATTTGATTCTAAATTATATTATTTTTTAATTTCACTTCTTCTAGTATATTAAATTTAGACATAAAATGCCACATTACGCTCTTAACATGATCTTAGACAGTCATGTATATACTGTTAGAATCCAGTGTTCATGTGTGTACATATATACCTAGCACTGAAATAGGGTATATGTTCACAAATAACTTCTAATTAGAGGGCATAAATAAAGATTACCATATTTTGCAATGTATGAAATATGGATAGAAATTTAAAATAAAAAATGGCTCTAACTTTAAAAATAAATAATTTAAGATTATTTTTAGCAAGTAAATTAGTCTTTAATAAAATAGTTCAGAAGCAAATGGAAATAATTCCATTTAAAGAATTCACTCAAAGCAGCTCTTTAATAAAATGATTATAAAAGACATGCTGACAATTTGGTGAATGATATTTTTCAGAAAGATTAATAAGTTTTCTAATTATAAGACTCTTAATAAAATGCTATTATCATTACTTTCATGCAAATTGGCCAGTTTATATTGCCAGGCTTCTTTTTAAAACAATATCTGATGAACTATGGTCAAATCAAGATAAAGATTAAACAATTTATTATTAAAACATTATGACTTTTATGTACATATAAAAAAAGAATTTTGGGAAAAATAAAGCAAGGATAAAAATCATAATGTATGCTACGTGTCTTCAGATTCCAGTTTGCATTCCTATTTCTTTTTTTTTCATTCCTATTTCTTATTGCCATGAAATAAACCATAGTCTGAATTGGAAATCTGTCCTATGTACATGCCAACACTTGGCATGCTTGAGAACTGTAAACAATGTATTAGTTAACTCCAAAAAACAGGAAGACTGAGAAGTGTTTTCTTTTTTGGTATACAAAAAAGTAGGAAGAGTGTTTTTAAAAAGGATAAGAGTCAAGCCTGTTAGGCCTTAATATTAGTCATCCTTTAAATACACTAAAATATCTCACAAAGTTGCCATAACGAAAGCTAAGAAGTTCTCTTTACCTTACTCAAAAAGGGTTAATTTCTCCTGTCTTCATAATCTACTATTAAATCAGGAAATATGTACCACTGATTGTCACTGATTTTATACTTCCATGAATCGAATGTTAAGGCTTTAATTCTGAACTTATAGTGTGCCCTCAGCGGTAAAGAGATGATACTGATTTCTGAAAGACTTTGATGGTGGCTGTAGTGAGAGGGTGAGTAGGTATTTTAAACTGAAAGAAAAAGGCAGTCCTAATTTTGGGTTAAAATTTTTAAAAATTTCCTTAAATATCAGCATTCTCCTGGATTTGAACAATTATAAACATATTGCCCTGTATCTAGTAAAGTATTATTTAATACTAAGCCATGAAGGAACTACTGACAAGAGACACAGATTTTTTGGGGGGAGGGGGGCGCTGCTCTCCATAGTTAGGAAGACTTTGGTTGACTGTTTTTTGCAGAAATAATAGCATGATTTCAAACAGGGAAGAAGCAGAGCAGGTTAGCACTGCAGGGACAGGCCATGGCTGGGGAGAATCTCTCCCTTCCTACAGCTTTCCACAGGAAAAGACAAACATTAGGGATTTCATTTTCTTACCTGTAATTGCCAAAGACATTTTACTGCTATAAGAATCCAATTTAATAAGCATTTATGGAACCCCTCATGTATACAAAGCTACCTGCTGCTGACTTATAAAGGTAATGCATATGGAACACTCATCTATTAAACCACAAGCAACTATCTTTATCTTTTATGCAAGAACTCAGAAGTTCGACTGCAAATGTGATTACTGGTATGATATCTATTGATATACAATAGGAGATTAATTTAATTGTAATCTATACAAGCAGTTTTCAAAGAGTTTTACTGTAATCATTAAACACATATAAAATAATTTATTAGTAGTAATATTTAAATACTTAAGGTAAGCACAAAATTTACAAAATAATATTTCTACTAAGACTACCAATTTCAAACCAAATCAGGAAATCTGATCCATGGTTTAGATTACAATTTGAAGCATTTCATATGCTTCATCTGTATCTTAGAACATCACAACAAAATATTTAGGCTGAGAAGGGAACCAATCACAGAATGTCTACAAATTGTCCCATAAAATACCAAAGTGAATCTTAGTAATAAGAGAAAAGCTAAAATTTGCCATTTCAATATTATTGCTAATTTTAACATTAAGCCTAAAACAAAATAATAACATAAAATTGATGGAAGGTGGAGTTAGCTAAATGATTTGTGAGGGCATAAGATGTAATAAAACTACCAAAAGAATTTACTATCATTATTGGTGAGATAATAATAAAAATGTAACAGAAGAGTTTGCCATGCAGTAGGACACAAAGTATTTATAATTTGAAATTACCGGGAGTATCAAGGTCACTTTCTAAGTTAGTAAGTTCATCTCCACCTCCTAAAACAAAGCCTTCAGGAATCTCCTCGTTAGTATTTATCTCAACATTATCATTTTCATCTGTAGGAACATGTAGCAAGAATGTTAGCATATTATTAGTATATTATTTCTATTTTATATAGGAAAGAAAAATCAGTATTTTAATAACAGTTCAAATTCAGGTCTGACACAGACAAGCAAGTTAAGAAATCAGTTTTAAGTCAATTTTTCATTATTGGATTAACATCTATATTTTACATTTCTATGTCAAAGATGAATTGTCACATCAAAGCAGATGCAAAGATTTTGACAATTTGTCACATGCTGTCTCTGAATTATTGAGCTCATTGAATCCCTATATTTTAAAATGTAATCTCCTGCTAATTTCTAACGACAGTAAATAAAAATAAAGTTGGTTCGATAAAAAAGTCATCAAATAAAAATGTTACCAAATAATATTTCTTAAATTTCACATTTTATTTATTAGATATAAATATATAAAGAAACAAATCATTCTTTATAAACTTGTAGCTATTTTTAAATTGTCTGCATGAAGATTTAAATGCTTTTGTACTATTAATGAAATATGATCAAAAGCATTATAGACAAATTAAGAACAAACATTGAGATGAGAAAGGACAGTACCTTTATGCAAAACAAAGTTCAGAAACAATTAAGTCAGTACATCATGGAAGACTTAAAGCTGGGAAAACACTGTTATTATTCAAAATTAAGTACATGGGAATGAGGTAGCCTTATACTATTTTTTTTATATATTTAGCAAAATGTACTAGGTCATAATTAGTCAATGATATCTTTTTAAAAGACTTATATTACATATTTTTCCTTTTTAAATCCTAATGATAAGCTGGTTAAGTAATTTTCAATATTACCTATTTAAAAAGGCATGGCAGTAGATTTGTATATTAGAAGCTAAGATTTAAAGTCTGCTGTTGACAGACAATGTACCTTTTGGAGAAATATCTGTCTAGCCCTGGGAGTTGAAGAATATCCCTACTATTCTACAGTTTATTTTTCATAGGGCAACTTTTATTAATAATGAGATGTTCCAAAGGTTATTGCAATTGAGAAATTCTAAATTCTATAACTTTGGCTTAAACCCTCAATATTTGTCCTTTTCCCTGTACAGTGTGTGTTTGATTTTGGGCTTCCCAAGTAAATATTTACTGTGAGCATTAATATTAATAATAATAGTTTACATTTATTGAAGAGTTCCTAATGGAAGCCATTTAGAAGAATACAACAGAGAGAAAAAGAATAAGAAATGCCCCCAAGGGAAAATATTGCCAAATGCTTTCAAATCATTAAGGTATTATACTTGGCTATATTATTTAAGTACAATTAGTTGAGAGAGCTTTTCTAATCGACTGTGCTTAGTACAACTATTTGACTACTTTCATAAAAGTCAGCACCATCATCTTCATTGTTCTCAAAAATTCTTCTCTAAATAATTCTGCAGTAAAGGTAAATGAATGAACAAATATTTCCTGAGTACCAAGGAAGTGTTCAGAACACTTCCTCCTGTCAAAGAATTTACTACCAATAGATTTTAGAGTGTGGTGTTTTGTTCCTGCAACCAGCCTCTATTGATTTCTACTGTCCATAATTAGAGTGAAAGCACAAAATTCAGCATTCATTCCTTTACTTATCCAAGAAACTTCTATTGTATACTGAAACTGCAATTTACAAAACACTGCTAGATGTTGAAGAAATATCAAGTTTTATAAGATATCAAGTTTTATTAAGACATTTATTCCACCATAAAGTTATATATAAGTGAAAGTCACTCAGTCATGTCCAACTCTTTGCAACCCCGTTGTAGCCTGCTAGGTTCCTCTGTCCCTCGAATTATCCAGGCAAGAATACCGGACTGGGTAGCCATTCCCTCCTCCAGGGGATCTTCCCAACTCAGGGACTGAACACAGGTCTCCTGTATTGTGGGCAGAGTCTTTACCATCTGAGCCATCAGGAAAGCCCAAGAATACTGGAGTGGGTAGTCTATCCCTTCTCCAGGGATCGTCCCAATCCAGGGACCAAAAGTTATACATACAAATGACTATAATACCATGTAGGACAGTTAAGTGTTATGAAGTAAAAATAAGATACGTAGCCAATTCAAAGGATGAAAAGATTATTCTTTTGCCAGTAGCACAAGGAACTATTTTTTGGAAGCACTAACCTTTAAACTAAGTCTTCAGAAATGTACAGAATTTCAAAAAGTACAATTGAGGGAAGAGTTTTACAGGCATGACAGCAGGAAAGTGTAGATTATGTTCAAAGAATGGTGTAAAGTCCTATTTGGCTCAAGCATACTTAAAGTGAAATAATGGGAAGTAAGACTTAAAAGGTAAAAAGATTTTACTTTGTAGGAACAGACGGACACTGGTTTGCTGGTCAAACATGATTGGCAACGTGTTGTTTAAGTTGAGAAGAGTCTATATAAGCAGTTTTCTACCACAGTGTTTTATGGCAATCAGTTGTGAAATATGTATAATTACTACAGAAGCACTGAAGCTTATGTTTTTATGAATTAAAGTATCTCCAATATTTTCCTAAAATATTGCTCTTGCTTAAGTTCTGATATGCCTTCATATGTGAAAGAAAAAGTGGTTCAGGGATTGCACACAGGAGTATACTAGCCATGTGACATCACCCTTGGTTCGAGATTGCTGAGTAAGACGATGCACTCTAGAACAGAAAGGGTGGAGGCAGGAAATCCATGTTGGAGACGGTTATAACCTCCAGGCAAGCAGTATAGAGAGCTTAACCTACCATAAAATAATTAGGAGTGGGTATGACTTGAAAACCAACTGGATACTGGGTAGTTGGGAGGGATACTGATGAGACGAAGAGTGAGACAGATGTCAACACTGACTCTCCAGACAGAGTGACTAGAAGGATGGCATTGTTATGAAAAGAAGCTAAGTCTGTAACAATGGTTGGATCTGGGTACTTCAGGTCCTGGGGTTAGGCAGTGGGATAGTCATTACTGCTTTACACAGTGCCAGGATAATGTGTGATGTTAAACAGGTGCCATTCACTTTATTTCCTGGCTAAATGAAATCTCTACCCATACTACCCCTCACCAGTAATGCTGAATAGGCTAACTCAAAGTTTATAAATGCATTGTTAACCTCAGATAAAAGGATTACTATTTGGGAAGGGGAAGAGTAAAACTTGATCTCCTCTAATGCTCAGGTTTTCTTAAGAATAGATTTCTACTTTCTTTCCATTCACTGACTTCATTTTACAATAAACACTTGAATTTTTTTCAACAGTTATTGTTACACATTTCTTAATACTTATCGAAATACTCTAAATGAATTTTAGCAGAACTAAATTACATGTGTGTCTGTGTGTGCTTAAAATATTACATATTAAATATATGATATCTATAAGATTACATATATCTTTAAGGCTAACCATTTAAAACCCACTAGATAAGCATGGCACAAAGTAAACTAGAGATACAATACACAATGGAAGGTAGTTTGCAAGTATGGCCTGTATGTAGGGAAAGGTAGAAAGAGATTTATACACACACTGGAATGAGACAATGCATTCCAACTGACACTGTATAGCACTATAAGCAAAATGGGGATCCCAATGGTATGATTAACAGCACAGAAATAAGGACAGTCTTATAAGACTTATTATTTATAAATAAATTGAATGAAATGTGTGAATATAAGGTAACAGTAAGGAAAAAAAAAGAATATCTGCACTTAAAAAACAAAAGAAGTTGAGGCTACTGTTAAAAACATATTCACACAAAATGGTAGCTTAGAGGACACCTACGTTTACATGAAACTGTTTATTTTCAGAAAAAAAATTTTCATAATAAGATATCTCATTTGTATCATGATTTAAAAATTCTCACTGAAGGTCCCTGTAAAATTTATAACTTGTAAAGTTATCCTATAAAAATCAAACAAACGACAGAGAACAATACAAATATATTATTAATGAAAGCTGAAAATAAAAATTACTGAAGGCCTGTAAGATTTTATTTTGGTTGAACAAATTTAGACAAATCTATTTACCATAACTGAAATAAGGATAATGCAGGCACACAGTCTCATGGATAAAATTTTTTAATTTTCATTTATCCATTTGAAATCCAAAAAAAAAGTATACTATTCCATCTAAATCAAAGAGGGGCAAAAACGTCTGCTTAATAGTTAAATGATCCCTTTAAAAAAAAAGTTAAATGACTCTAACCTAACTCAAACCAAACCAATAAAATACAGAATAAAAATAAATAGATATAAAATATCATATATATGATATGATAGGTATCATAGATATGACACAAAATATACACAGATTTAAGTATATATAAATATATAAAATCTATATAATATATACCATGTAATATATAACGGATATAATATAATCTTCAAACTAGGCTAACACCTTCCTTGCAAGTGCCCTTGGACCACTAATAAAAATGCAAAATTTGTTTGGACAAAATAAAAACTTTTTAATTCTCAAAGCAGAAATTCAGGCCATATTCTCTGACCACAATACCATATAACTAAAAATGAAAATATCACACTTTGGCCCTAAACAACTGTACTTTGTCAAGTAAGATCAATATAATAAATGAACCCATAAGTTTGTTACCTAAAATGAGGAGTTTAAAAGGCTGTTACAGGTCTACAACTAAAAAATGAAGCAAAAATTGAAAAAACACATGTAGAATACTGCAATATCACCTGACTCTCTTCTAAGCCTTCAAATTATTTTAAGAGGAGAAAAAGTAAAAGCTAAGCTGTAACTCCTTGGACGGGTTCTGTTATTTCATAAGAATTAGGCTATTTATGGTTGAAATAGGATGCAAGTGGGATGCTTGGATACCTGACTTTAGAGACCTAAAATAACTTGCAAATATTTTCTGTGAACACCTGAGGCTCATGACACCTCACTTCAAACTTAGCAAGTTTCTTTTCCTCATTGAGGCTGGCTGCTGAGAATGGAAAAAAGCAAGCATTTCAAGTAGGTTCAGGCAATGAGTCTGAGTATCAAGTTCAACACATCCCCTAGGTTGCGCTTTCACCTTATTATTTCAGCTCTTGACTACTGCCTCTTCTTTGTTGCTCTGGACCACCGCTTCCAAAAAATTTCCCTCTCTAGTCCATCATCTAGGCTGGTCCCTACACAATCCTCTCTCATTCTGCACCATTCCTTATTCAGATTTGGTAATTCCCATTAGACAGTGGAAGAGTGGATACTAATTTGTTAATTGTTTTTCCTGACTTATCAACCCCATAGGGTCATTTTCATTTAGGAATTAGACTCCTGTGAAATCACGTGAATTTCTAATTTACTATGTTAATGCCAGCAAACTATAGCATGGGGCAAAATCCAGCCCACCGCCCTTTCAGGGTAAATAACAGGCATGCCCACGAATTTACATGTTGTTCAAATCTACAAGGGCAGAGTCAAGCAGTTAAGAAAGAGAACATATGGGCTGCAAAGCCTGTAAAAATTGACTCTGGCCCTTGCTAGGAAGTTTGCCAAATCCTGGCCCAACACAATGGCTGGCACCACTAAACAGATAAATGTGTATGTATGAATGGTTGAACTCTAGGAAGGAATCTTACCCTTTCCCTTGACCTAAAGGTCTCTTCCATGCTGGCCTTGAAAGCTTCAGCTTAGGCTTTGATGCCAGAGCAGAGCTAGTCAGATCTATACACCTTTATGAAGACAGGCCAATATCCAGGTCAAGGAATAGGCCTGTACCACGTGAAAGTCAACTTTAGCTCTGATTAAGAGCCTCCCATCTGATATGTGGCCACTTCCAACATCCAAGGTATGGTACGGTCTATGAGAGAAGTGGGCCCTGATGACCTTGGTCTTCTTAGGGAAGACCAAGTCTTGACTCTTCAACAGGTTCTCATAAGTCATCTACTAAACCCTGTCCCATCTTCATTTCATCTGGCTTTTCCTTTTATAGTCTGTACTTCTTTGTTAGTTTCAGAGATCCAAGCCTCACTTGTTCTTTATTCACTTTGTTGATTGTTGAATGATGCCAAAATCAGGTCTTCACTTTCCCTAGTTACCAGGCTGGGAAGCTACCCATTTTGGGGGTTATAACACTGACTAAGTCTCTCTACCTAGTCTAGTTCTGGCTAAGCCTCAACTGGAATTGGATTATAGAGATAAGACCAATTATATAGCTGACTCACTCCATACCCTTAATCAGAAAATTTTAATCCTTAGTCTTCCCAGAGTTCACAACTCATTTAGCATTGTTATCCGCTCTCTGTTAGGAAAAAAAAACAGACAGTGGATGCCTCTCTATTTTATGTTTACTCTTCTATGGGTTTACAATGTCACATGGAGATAGTATCAGTAGCTTTAGGACAGTCTATCTGGAGGGTCAAGAATATGAAGCTTTTTTTTATCATTCTGAGATACAAGGAGGCAGAGACATCTAAGGTTTACTTAGAATATCTGGAATTTCTATGATATCAAAGAAATGTTACTAATAATAAATGAAAGCAAATTGTAACAGCATTATATAAATGTAGCTGTGAGTGGTTACTGCCATTACTATAAAACTTTAGTAGTGAGTATAGAAACTGTAATAAAAATTCTGAATGACAGGAGTTGAAAAGGTAAGATGAAAGACTTAACTAAGAAACAAACATTCTGAGAATACCAGATGGACAGATCCATAACTATTCAGGAAAGCAGCTTTCAAATATATGGGGATGGAAGGTAACATGCTATAGGCATTTGTTGGAACACTCTACAACAATAAGATTTTACTATAAGGGATCAATTAGAAATAACAGCAGTAAGTTTCAGTTTACTACAAAGAAACTTATTATTGACCTAGAAATAGTTTCCATTGTTTCGGTTCTCTAAGGTTTTATTCGAGTCCTCACTTGCCTACTCTCCAGAGTGATCTTAGCATTTAAGATTAACTCAGAACAAGTACCTGGCATGTTCTGGTAGATAAATAGGTCACGTACCCTTGAAATAAAAAAGCCCTTTTGAATATACTACTAAAATAAAAATGTAAAAAGTTTCAAGTTAAAAGTGCCCAAATTGAGCACTGAGAGGTAAAATTAAAATTCCCTTTAATTATATGTATATATAGTCCTTGTTTCAACATCAAGCTTAGAAAAATTTCTGCAGATACTGAAAATGACCCTCTTCAAATAAGACGACTAAGAGAAATGCATATGGGCCTTATTAAAAATTCTTACATGTCACATTATAGTGCTGGAAACACTGTTAAAGTTACTTTCCGAAGATCTGGTTCAAAGTAAAAATCTCTCATGCCAAGCTCTCCACTAACAAGTCTTGTGATCCAGATGCTGAGGACTTGATTGCATTTTACTCATTCTAATACAATTAATGAGACATCATGGGGAATCACAAACTAAGGCCTGTCAGAGTTTTCTCCTAAATCATATTCTTGGTATTTCTTGAGTACTAATCATACTTAATCATAATCAAAGTACTTCCTGAGTTGTTAAAAATTAAGTCAGAGTTGATTTTGAAAATGGTCATCGTCATCTTCTGATTTACTATGTTTTCTTTAAGTTTTTAGCATCACACCAATAGGTTAGAAACTTTATGTATTTGATGCACAACATTTTGAAGTAAGAATAAAATGTCCCAAAAGGTCCATCGCGGATTTCTGGGTTGTCTGTAGAATATGATACAAGATTCTTAAACTCACCTCCAGATGCCTTTGACCTTTCTTTCAACTTTTCTGCAGCCATTTCACCATAGCTGGGAAGTTCTGACATCTTCACTCCAGATCGAGCTTCTGCTATTAGCTGACGAGCTCTCTCTCTCAGCTGCCGACGTCGCTCTTCATCTTGCTGCTAAGATATATTGAACAGTTGCCAACTCAGTAATTGACAGAAATGCAATTTCATTTTCAATCTGATCATCATGATAGTAACTGGTTTACAGCATGGTGCTTGGCCCACATTATAAATAGGATGCTCTATATCAGTTGGATGTCACACCATTTTTAAAAGACATCCAAGAATCAGATTTTTAAAAACATTTACAAATTATTGTATTAAAATGTCTGTTAAAAATTCAAAGTAGCCTTTCAAGAATGTTTGGCAATATAATTACTGAGAAAGTAGCAGGATCAACTATTAATAAAATGACTGGGCTTTTAGGAAAAAAGTCACAATACTGAAAACAGAATTTCAATTAATACATTTTTTTTCAAGATTAAAATTTAACTTGCACATTTCTAGTAAAGGCATACAGCACTGACTAAAGGAAATTTTTGATAGTAGAAAATGCTGCTACATCATGTTGATCAAATATAGAAAACAGTATTTTTAGGGGGCTACAGCAGGAACAGGATAGCACATTAGTTCCTCAGTTATTGTTGATAGTTTTAAAATCAGAATTAGGTACTGATGTACTACTATCCCCATTTCTACTCTCCCCCTAGACACACACTGAAAAGAAAAAGTAAAACCTAGTGTGGGTTTTAATAAATAACTAAATGACAGAGAAATAACTAAATAACAGAAATAACTAAAAATGACATAGAATTAAATAAATTAGGTTTTGCCTCCTATAAATAGGTTATTATGAATTGCAAATAATCAATGTGAAATTGCTTTGTAAACTGCAAAGTATATGACATAAGGCATATTATGAAAAAACAAAGCCTGAAATAATCTGGCCCCAAAATATCTGTAGTTACCTTCTCTTAACCTCTTCCAATCTCTATAAAACCTCACATCTATTTATACAAGTTGTTTATATCATGTGGTTTCATGCATTCATGAACTTGAAATGAATATTATCATTTCATCTTCCTGGAAAGTTCTTCTCTCATCTATTTAACTCCTACTCATTCTTCAAGATTCATTTTAAATCCACTAAACTTCTCTGACTACTCTTCTGTCCTCCTTGCTGGTGGAGAGAAGTTTTCCTTCTTTTCTGTTGCTACAGGTGTGTGTGTGTGTGTGTGTGTGTGTGTGTGTGTGTAGTGCATGTGATTACTTTTTAAAACACTACATATCAAGTTATAACTCTGCACAAATGCCTCCTTCTCAGTAGAACTGAGCCACTCAAAGGCAGGAGATAGATAGATTTGACTTATCTTTGTATCTTTGGTCCTTAGTACACACAGTGGGGCTTGGTACTTGCTATAGAAATTTCAGGCATGAAAATTTATAATTTATACTCACAAAGCTTATAATACAGAGGGAAAGATAAAACAGCCACAATAAGGAGATGCGATTAAAATGCACAAAGAGTTCAGAAGAAAGAAGTTTGCTTTATGTGTAACTTTTGTCCCCCCAAGGGGAATGATCAACCAGAGGTGTACATTTAACAACAATGTATAAAATAGGTTGGCATAAAGGGACTGGAAAGAGAGTACTTAGGAGGCTCTTATAAATAGGAGGAGGAAGCTATAATGAGATTCAGAACTGGGATAGTGGCAATGGGAATGGAAGGAGACAAATGTAAGAAACACATCAGAGTTAGAACTAGTACCTGTACCAATTCTTGGTACCTGTACCAACTAGTACCTGTACCTGTAACTGATTAGAGGTAGAGGGAAGAAAAAGGCTGACTCAGAAGTTTTAAACTTGGGTAACTAGAACTGTGGCATCAAAAATAGAAACGGAAAAACCAAGATGAATTATAAGAGGGAAAGGCTGGAAGTCTGGGGTAAGATAGACAAGATTTGAGGGGTTGGTTGGACATGTGAGTCAAGATGTAAGTAGCTGGGAAGTAAAAACGATGCTAGGGACTGAAGTCAAATTATGACTGCAGAGCTAACGGCCGAAGTGACAGGAATACACGAAATCACCTAAAGAAGTACTGCAAAGAAAAATAAGACCTACTAACTAAATCATGGAGAACATCTATTTTTAGGTAAAAATAGGAAAAGGAGACAGAGAAGGAAGAGGATGAGAACTGTAACACTGATACACCCTGAGAATCAAAGATGAAGAGGCTTTCATGAAAAAGGGAATAACTGACTGCAGTAAACATTAGAGGTTAATGAGTCTGAATGTTTAAAAAGGGCAATCAAACTTGGTAGGTAATAGCATTAGAGAGAGGGGCAGGCACTAGACTGATGGAGTTCAAGCCTAGGCAATTGTTCACAAATTTTGAGACGGCTAGAACTGAGAGCTGTCAAAATTAAGAGGGTAGATTAACAGGGGTATGGAATGGACCCAGAGACAAGCTTGAAGCTCCCAGTGGACAAAGTGAAACAATTCAGTATCAAACAAGTATGCAAACAATTACTGCAATGAATTGAATAATCAATGAAATCACACAATGAATCAGTGAAAATTCATCAATTCATTATGACATTAAAAAGTTCTCAGAAGGATATATAAACTCATCTGCAGGTGCTTTTAACAGAACTCCCTGGGACTTCCTAGCGGTCGAGCAGCTGGGACTCCACGGTCCCAAAGCAGGAGGTCCGGGTTTGATCCTGGTTGGGGAAGTGGATCCCACATACTGCAACTAAGAGTTCACATGCTCCAACTAAAGATCCCAAGTGTTGCAAGGAAGACTGAAAACCTAGTATGCTGCAACTGAAATATGGCATAGCCAAATAAATAAATAAATAATTTTTAAAAAGAGAATTCCCCCAAATTAGTAATTGGAGGAAAAAAATCAAGCACTTAGCCTGTCTTTCCAGTGGGAAATGAAGTTTAGAGCAACTAATAAATAGCCCAGTTAATGACATGACAGAAAACTCCACTTTATAAAATGATGCCAGCTATAATTTTAAAAAAGGCAAAATTAAAGAAAACAAAACTTTGCCATTCATAAAAGAATGATTCTAGCAAGGCTTATGAGCTATTATTAAAGATTTTAAGAAAATGTCTGATGGGAAACTGGATATTTATATTACATATTTTCCAAAGATGGCCATGACAGTATTTCTCATCCTACAAACTTTTTGCAGTGTGACCTTGCTATTTTCTTATCAAGAGGTGACATATTTAATTCCCTTCCCCTTGAGTATGGGCTAGTATAAGTGACTTGTATATAATCAACAGAAAGTAGATGTGTTGAAGGTGACTTCCAAGGCTGGGTCAGAAAAGGCTATACCCTTTCACCCAGTTCTCTTGAAATTTCTGCATTTTATATGTTCTGGGAACCCAGCTGTCATGTTGTGAGAATCCCAAGCTATATGCAGGTGCACTAGTTCACATTCCCAGCCAAGTTCAGTCTTGAGTCTTCTGAGCTCACTTATCAGACATGTGAATAAAGGCTTCTTCAGAATCTCAGCGTTTAGCCACTTTGGGTTACTTCCAACTGCTCAAGTCTCCCCAACTGAGATTCCAGACAATGTGGAACAGAGACAAAGCATACACACTGTACCCTATCTGAAATCCTGACCCACAGAATTTGTGAGAATAAAAATAATGTTAGACCATTACGTTTGGGATTATTTTACACATTAATAATTAGATCATGTTGTTAATTAAGTAATACCATATAGATTATTTCCTGGTTGTAAGAGGAAAACCTAATTTTAAATGAAGAGATCAGAACTAGATCAGGGATTAGAAACCACTACTCTAATGGTCAATCTTAGCATCTCTAATGTTGAGTCAACCATACATAACATATTTTTTGATGTGAAGCACATGAAGCAAGCACCACCTGTAATATTCTAGCCCAAATGTCTAAAGTGAATCTACTAAGCCTTTAGATATAATCTCCAGTTTATCATAAACACAGGGGATAGAGAAACATGATAAATGACACAACAAGGAAGCAAACAAACAAACCTACAAAGTAGGATATTCAGGCTAACTGACCTGGTCATTTTAATAAGAGAGAGTTATAAAAACAAATACATGAACAAAAACCAACTAACCAAACATCATCCCCACCAATAAAAGGGACCTGACCAGATGCAGTGTATAGTCCTGCGTTAGACACCGGTTGGATAAACCCGCTACAAAGGACACTGCTGAATCAATTAAAGAAATCTGAATATAATTATAGTATTAAATGAGAGAAAATACAATGACTGTAAGAATAGGTTATACATTAATGACTTAATTTTGTCTTTTTGGCAAAATATATATGCACACCTGGAAGGTTATTTACAAAGCTGTCATGGTGGAGCTATCATGGTATGGAAATGTGATATTTTTGTTTTCTCAATTTCTCTTCATTTTCTAACTTTCTATAATATAACCACACTACTTTTGTAATAAAAGTTGTTTTTTAAAAGTCCTGGGGGAAAGGAAGAAAGAGATGAGATGACAGGTTTCTGGGTTGGATGGTTGTGGTAGGGGCAAAAGACTAGAGAGCTAACATTCAAGAGGAGTAGTATACACTGGGTAGAGTGAAACTGAAGATGCAATAATAATACACAAAAATCCTCAGTTTATTACTAGTGTTTCTAAACTTAGAAAATAAAAGGAAAGGCAGGCTTGATAATGGTGATTTTTGGTATTGGCTTAAAGCTCAACATTCAGAGAACTAAGATCATGGCATCCAGTCCCATCACTTCATGGCAGATAGATGGGGAAACAGTGGAAACAGTGGTTGACTTTATTTTTCTGGGCTCCAAAATCACTGCAGATGGTGACTGCAGCCATGAAATTAAAAGACGCTTACTCCTTGGAAGCAAAGTTATGACCAACCTAGACAGCATGTTAAAAAGAAGAGACATTACTTTGCCAACAAAGGTCTGTCTGGTCAAGGCTATGGTTTTTCCAGTGGTCATATATGGATGTTAGAGTTGGACTATAAAGAAAGCTGAGTGCCAAAGAATTGATGCTTTTGAACTGTGGTGTTGGAGAAGACTCTTGAGAGTCCCTTGGACTGCAAGGAGATCCAACCAGTCCATCCTAAA